TCTGAAGAAATTCCAGAGAGCTCATAACAAGTTAGAGTCACTTGGGCTAGTTGTGGTTTGTGCCTCTCATTTCCGTGGCACAGATATGACAAAGAAATAAAAGCAGTCCCTGAGTTACTTCAATTCTGTTATTATAACATTAGTGGAAGTTTTCAGTGTGTTAAAAATTAAAATAGTAAAGCAGACTGGCTGGGGAGTGATTATTTGAAAGTCATGCCTTGTGCAATCTGAACCTGAGGATAAAATACCTCATTTGCCTTTGCAACAAGCACATGAAGCCAAGTCCTCATGTACTAGGGCTCACTGTGGCATAGATAATGTCTATCCACCTGTTCATTTGTGCATGGATAACTTCTCTCTACCCAGCTGTAGCAGAGATAACACGCATCTATCCATCATCTCTGTATCGATCCATCTTCTGTCTTTGCATCATCCATCTATCTTGTTCCTGCTATCAATCTTCTATCTAACGTCCATCTATGCATTGGCCTATCTATCTGTCTTAGTTTTCTAGGGTTGCCACACCACAGAATGGAGGGTTAAACAACAGAACTTCATTCTCTCACAGTTCTGAAGGATCCAAGCTTGATATCAAGGCATTGGTAGGGTTGGTTCCTTCCGAGGCTGTAGGGAAGAATACTATGTTCCAGGATTCTCTTACTGGCTTGTAAATGACTATCTTTTCCCTGTGTCTCTTCACATTGCCTTCCCTTTAGACCTGTCTGCGTCCAAATTTCTTTTTATAAAAACACAGGCAATATCAAATGAGGGCACACCCTAATGACTTTGTTTTAATCTAATTAAATGCCCTACCTGAAAATACAGCTGCATTCTGAGGTGCTGGGGGTTGGGACTGTCACATATAATTTCGAGGGGAGGGCACGATTCAGCCCACAACACTGCCTATTGCTCTCTCCAGTAATAATAATGATTGTTCAGGACCTAAATCAATAGATGATGTCATTTGTTTATCAAGAATGCATTAATTACTGACATTATTTGGAAATGTCAGCATGTGATGATAATAAAGGACAGACTCAGTATTTATCTGGTTTATTATTGCTTTTCGGTTTTTTACAGATAGAATAAAGAACTGCCTATACCTCAGAAGAACCACTCTCACCACCAGCTCTTGGCACACCCTTCCCAGCCCATGGGCATCAACATCCATAGGATACAGATTAGAAAGAGGCAAGGCAAAGGACACATCGGAGGGCAAACAGGGCGGGCCATGATGGGCCACCTGCATGGCCCTGTGCGTTACTGCTGTGTCCTCACTTAGTGTCTGGCAATGTTCTGTGCACTCTTGATGAGTGGGTATTATTCCCCTGCTTCCATGGTGCTCTAGCTGTGGAAAATGGGCAACATTATCTTTTAGGCTGTCAGACTAAATGCATCCAGAGATGTCTCTTATCCCCCAACACACTTAGGTCAATACCCTCAGCTTCACCTGAGTCAGGACACAGAGCCTGTCTGCCCTTGGAGTCTCAAATGCATCTGAGAGTCCATCTTTTCCATGCGCCCCAGTCTCCAGGCAGTCTTCTAGTCTTTAGACCAGAAAGCAGCCACCAGGCCTTCCCCCTCCCAGGGGTACACTGATCTCTAGATCCCTAATTGTTGCCATTCTTTATTTTGGAAATGAAATTATTTTATGATCTTAAATATGAAGAAAACATGGTTCTTGCTGAGCCATGTTTTTCTTTGCCTATAATCCCCTCAGAGTTATGCCTTTTTCTGACTTGAAGGTCAAGAACTGTCTTTACATTTCTAAGTTCCATTGTTTTCTCCATTCCCTGTGAGTTGAGGGGATCCCCACTGATGAAACTGCCAGCTATTATACTGTGTGTATATTATTTCTTAATTATTTCTCATGTGACTTTGGCCAAGTCATATAACCTCATCAGTTTTAGTTCTTGACGTAGGCTGCATTGATCATGATACTTATTCTGTCTACAGTACATGGTTGTTGTGAGGAGCAAGAAAGCCCATTAATCTTTACATATATCAAGATTTTCTGTAAATAAAAATGATTGTTAGTGCCAGTTAATTAAATTTGTAAGCTGTAAAAGTGCTGACTCTTTTAAAACATTTGCAACCATGTGTTTCTGAGTATTATGTGTTGCTAACTTAATTTTTTCCCTTCTTCTATGTTTCCCCTTTCCCTGGTTCTCATTCCAGGAAAGCATGTCCTGAGTATACAGAACAAATACAGGTAAAAGCAAACTAGAAAAGTTTCAGTCTATGCATTTTTGCTTATGCAAACCTCTACGAAATTGAATAGTTTTCTTTTTTGTTGTTGTTGTTTAATAAGGGGAGGAGAGCTGTGGATGCAAAATCAAAAAGTATATTATGTGGGAAGCAGTCATTTCCCATTTCCCTTACTACTGCTCGTGGACAGCTGGTAACCAGGTCAGCAAGTCAGGTTCTTGGCCATGACTATGGGAAATAGTAGGATAGATCATCTCAATACCAGCCTTATTGGTATTTCTCAAAATTTCAATATGCAATTGGGATTTAAATCCACTGATTCAAGCATCCTAGAACAAGAGTCTCAAAAAAGATGGCTGACATGACAGAATTCATAGAGCTGAGAAGCTTAAAAAGACTATGTGGACAAGGGCAATACCATCTTAGTTACCTGCAGGGATTGATGATCATGGTCTGATCCTTCGAAACCACCACCAAACAGTGCTTAGCCCTGCAAAAGACCACCAGAACTAGATAGTATGTGGGGAAGCACCCAGTAAATTAAATTTAAGTTAATTTTTAGAAAATAAGGGTACATTTATGGCACACCAGGGTTTGTAGTAGGAGATATACTTTTGTAACACATCCTGAAATTCATCAAAAATTAGTAAAATTTGTTTTTGTGCAATGGGAGAGGTACTGTAGCAGAAGGGAGGAGGTAGAGTTTTTACCAGACTACACCAGGACTAATCAAACTAAGCCATGTAATTGTTAGTTTTTAACATTTTTGTCCATATTTGATATAGCTAATAATATGACTCCACCAGGGTGTTACATCTCCTCCCTCTTTGGGAATGACAGGCCTTCTCATTCAGACTGAGGAACCTATTCTTGTAGAGGTGGATATGTCCGCGTGAGCCACAGGGTAGGATGAATGATTCCATGACAACCTTTAAGCATGTATCTCGTTTGTCTTGATGGCTTCCTCGTATGATTATATAAAATAAATGCCTCTTTTCCAACACACCCAGTGTTAGGCTTTTCTGAATTAAGTATGACAAAGAAAATAATCTTAGGAAAAATCCCTGTCAATCACTGTTTTTCTTACTTTTATTGCTAATATTTGAAGATACTTACACAATGTGGTACTTGCCATTTAAATATTGCTAATGTTTTAAATACAGTTTTATATTACCCAGGGTTTGACTTACTGAAGACTTGCTGGTGGTTTGTAGGATGGAAGGAAGATATGACATCAATATCTAACCTTGAGTTATCACTGATAGAATCTTTCAGAGTCACTAGGAGATCTTTTGAGGACAGAAGTTTATTCTCCAATAGACTACACAGTTAAATATATCAACACCATTGTACTATGTACCTATTTTATTTTATTATTTTATTATAGCAAAGATGAACATGCATAAATATTTGTTGAACACGTTTTAGCTTTTTATTACAATTATAGACTATAAGTTAAATATGTTGTTATTACAAAACAAGCACAACATTTGAGCACTTAAACATGTGTATATAAACATCAATTGATTCACAAGTTATTAGAGCTATTCAGAAACAACCCACAAGAGAGGTCTTGCCTCATAAACCCTCTCTACCCATCCTCACTCCACCCAAACACCACATTTTTAACCCTGTATGTACATGAGGGAAGTGGAGAATGTAGAAAATAATGCATATAATTCAAGTAAAACAAAATACAAATACCTTCACCATACATATCTTTAAGTAGAGAATTTTGAAAGGAGGTATTTATTTTCACCTGACGAATTGCCTGAATCATTACCTTGATTCCTCATTTCGTTTTGCATGTTAAGACCTGTACCATGACTAAAGAATAAAACAAGGAACTGAAACCATTCCCTTCAACACGCAAACCTCAATTTTTAAAGTGGGACCGTATATCCTCTTAATGAGAACCAAGTGTCAATAGCCTTTTATTGGTGTGACTTTTTTTTTTTTTTTTGCAGGTTTTGGCCGGGGCTGGGTTTGAACCTGCCACTTCCGGTATATGGGGCCGGCGCCCTACTCCTCTGAGCCACAGGCCCTGCCCTAATGATGTGCCTTATTAAGATAGACACTTCTGGTTGCTTGTAGGTACAAATCAGGGGATACAAAAGCATGTTATTTTCCTTTATAAGTATTTGTAAGCAAGTTTAACTGTCTAAATTGTTAGAGGAGTTAAAATCTATCTTCTTAAAATCTATTTTCCTAAGAGAAATCAAAGTTCACTTTTCCTTAGAAGTGTTTAGTTTGAGTTTCCTAAAGGAATAACAAAACTCTTCATTGATTGGCCATTTTATTATTTTGATAAATTTAACTAAAAGTCATTATTTGATGTCTAGAGTTTTCCAGGATAGTGACTAAAAAAAAAAAGAAAGAAAGAAAGAAAAATCACCATTTATATAGTATAAGAAGTAATTGGAAGGGAAAATAACAGACTGTGTTTGGGAAATGCATATGCTTTATTGGTATGGTTACTAATTGCATTTTTAGATTCTTATCAGATAATCTATTATGATAAAAAAAAGAGGCTAATTTATCATTGTACATCTGCTGGCGGTTGCAAGCACACGTGATTTTGACTGTGCAAATTGGAATGGGGAATAAGTCCGATAGTAAATGCATTTAATACACAGGGGGTCAGAATGTTCGAGTAAGTCTGACTTGCTACCTTAGGTAACAAACTGAAATTTTCATCTCAATTTAGATCCGGTCATAAAGCCAGTTCTCCTGCCCAATGTACTTACAGTTTCTGGAAGGGGTTACTTCCAGAGCTTACTCCGCAGTTGGAGCAGAGAGCGGGTGTTAGACGTAGCTGGTGGAGGTCTTACTGAGCCCGGTCCCGTTCCTCCGCGGATCCGTGCGCCGCACACAGTAGTCAGGGGCTGGGTATCTGTGTCTTTGCTTCTTCCTGTTGCAGCAGCAGAACCCGCAGAGCAGCCCCCCTCCGATGAAGAGCACGGCAACACTGGCCCAGCCGAGGAACAGTGCGGCTCCCAGCTCTCTCTTTTGACCGACATGGACGGCTGGGTCGTAGAAATCCCTGATGATGATGTTGGCTGTCCAGCACACTGGAATCAGGACGAAGATGCCCGTCAGGATGAAGAGGACTCCCGAAGTCCCCAGAAGGTAGGCTTTGACTCTCTGGTTGGAGCCCGTGCACTGGACCTGCTTCATGCCGCAGATGCCAATAAGTAGTGCGATCAAGGAGAGAGCGACGGCCACACACATGAGTGCCCGGGCTGCTTCCAGGACAGGCGGCAGCGCCAGCAAGGAACTGTAGAACTTGCACTGCAGCCTGACCTTGGCTTGTCGGATACAGTTCATCCACAGCCCTTCCCAGAGCCTTTCAAAGACAATAATGTTGCTGCCAACAAAAGCTGATACTCTCCACTGAGGCAGAAGGGTTGTGGCAAGCGTCCCCACCACACCGAGGAACCCAAGAACCAACCCAGCAATTTGCAGGGGATAAAATGCCATTGCCTTTCCTCTGAAGACTGGTCCAGTCTGGAATGGCAGAAGATGCTCACTCTGCAGATTGTGGACGGCTGAGTCTAGAGCAATCTCGGATGATGTTCACCTTAGCTGCGGCCCGTAACATTTTAATCCAAACAGCAACAGCACCTGAACTTGGCCTAACTAGAAGTACCTGTTGTAAACACATGCGGCCTTTGTACACACACACACTCATTTCTGTATGAATTATTTACTAGTCATATATAATTGTTTCCCAGCCAATAAGAAAGTAGCCAGAGGTGTGTCCAGAAATACTGCATGTTCAACTTCAGTATTTCTCATATTATTATTGCATTAGCAATGCTGTAATTGTCGGAGCTTCCACTGTGGATCGCTAATTACAGAGCAGAAAACTTCCTGTCAAAAAGTCACTTGGATATAAAAATATGAACATATGTGTTAAGGCACAGCTGAAGACAATGCCAAAATCTTGCCACTTTCTTGGCAAGTAATTGAATAACACTTTGAAGACTTTTGACTATTGCTTTCTTCTAGTGTAAGCCGCTTGTCCTTAATATGGCTAATCAACTATGGATTTAATGGAGACTTCTGACAGAGGGAAATGTTTAGGTAATACTGTCCAGACTTTCGCGAACATCACTGACACTTAGGCGGCGTCCAAAGCAAGAAATTCAGAATTCATAGTCTATTGTAAAGATCCGAAAAGAAAAATAAATACAGAAACATTTCTTACAATTAATTTGAATTAACTGGTAATTATCATGTTACCTACTACATAACACCTCTCTGTTGAAACAGTGTTTAGTATGTAAACTTTCATTACATGTTTTTTCAATGGCAGCTTAAAATATATGACATTTATCAAAGCCAGTAATGTACCTTTCATTTTTATGGAACTATACAGAAGTGGCCCTTCGAATTAGCTATGAAATTACTTAAAATGCAGACAGTAAACACTTTTTAGAGCTGAAAGTTATCTTCAAGGTAATCCTCATTTGCCAGATCTACAGAGCGCTTGGCTAAGAGAGCTGTGTGGTGTTTATCCAAGGACAGACCCAGATCTCTCACTCATTATGCCACCTCCTCTGTTTGGTCTGATTCAAAAACAGGAGGGAGAAATGCTTTTTCAAATATAAATGCTTTTTCATATAAATGGACTACACAGGAAATTTAACGCTACCAATTCCATACTTTCTCAATGGTTTTCAAAGGAAGCAAAATTCAAATGAGATTGTTTTAAAATGCAGAAATCAAGTTGTCATCCCTGACTGCTAATTCCCTGCCCTTGGCCAGGGTCGAGGGGTGCTTCACGTGGGAAGTACGTGCCTTTCTCCTTTTCCTTTTATATACCATTGCAAGAAATCCATTTTAAGAATAAAAACTACTCCAAAACGGCACCCCAACCATACCTTTGGCTTCATAGGCCAAAGAGTGAAGGGGTGTTTCAGTACCATCTGGATTTAAAGAATCCATTGATGAAATTAATAAATATGAAAACCATTCACCTTTCAAAATGAATGGTACTAGAGCTCCCTAGAATCCCTCTCTAGGGAATATGAATCATTAAGGACACAGACAACTTCCGTACAGTTCAGTTTCCTAACATCAGCTCAAGATGAAAGGTTTTCTCATCCCTCTGTTTGAGTTATTGAGACAGAGGCTTAACTGTCCCCACCCTGACAGGATTTGCTGACATTATTCTGCCTGGTTACTTCCAGCTCATCTTCCTCATCTAATTTCCTCTTCCTCATTCTATCTCATTGTTAGTCTTATCTTCATTTTGTCCTGGAACTTTCCAACCTGATGTTTTTTTACAACTGTTTGATTTTTACCAGCTGAAGCATCTAATTCTGTATGACAAGTAAACAGAAGTGAGAGCTTATGTTTTCTCAAAATACAGAGAGAGGTATACATCCTGAATAAGCATAATCTGAGAAACGTAAGCATCTCTTTGTTATATTCCGCTCACAGCCAACACCAGCTGTCTCCATCACATTCGGGGGACGTAGTGCTTCCCTGTCTAAGTCCCTCCCCATTCATGTGGGCAGGCCCCCCTCAGTGACTCACAGACTAGAGCAGAAATAGAAGATCAGAGTGAAAAAAATTCAGAGGACATGTAAAGCTTCCTCATCTTGCCTTCTCTCTTCTTTTAGGAATTTCACACCTGGAAAGGTCCAGACATTCTTCTAATTTATTGTATGACTATTTTGAAAGATGATGTCTTATCTTCTTCAGGGGCCAATTCAAATTGTAATAAGTACAAATGAGTAAAAAAAGGTTTTTTACTAAAAAACTAAGCAGTCTGCATTTCCATTAGATTGACTTGAAGCTTTGGTAAGAATTAATAATAGGTATGTGTACAAACACACACACGCACTTCTACTGTATTTATGATTGACTTTCATACACCTGTTCCCCTTACCTAAGTACTTTCTCAGTTTCCCTTTGTCATAACAATACATGCACCTCGCCCATTTAATAATTGCTCATTTTCCTTTGGATTTTGATCCACATTTACTCACAAGAGAAACTTGTCTTGCGTTCTTGCATTATATCAGCTTCATTACTGTCCCCGTCCCTATCATTATGTTAATCATTCATTACTAAGCATTTTTCTCCATAGTATTTTCATAAGCTTTGCCTAAATATACATTTCCATTCATATTTATTTGTTTTCCATCTTGAGTATAGCTGTTTACTATTAGATTCTCAGTGTAGAGCATACACTTCAGAATCCATAGTAGGGGCCTAAGAAATACTATTTGAATGAATACTAAATGTATTAATCAATACAATCCTCTAATTTAAGGTTTACTATTGAATTATATCTTCCCAAATTGTAAATTTACAGTTTGAGTACTGTCCTACAGAGTTACACACTGGATTTCTGTAATAGAAAATCATTTCATTTGTTTAAAACATTGTTTTCTATCCAGGAATGCATTCAGCAGTAATCTAAAAACCCATCTGAATTAGGTTTATTCCACCAGCCACTCAAATTTATTTCATTATCATGCATTGCTACTTCAAATTTCAGCTATTTTAGGGCTACTGACATACTAGCATTGTAAATGGACTTTCCTATTAAACTAATGAGGAAAATACAGTCTACTCTGGCTAGACCAAACTTGTTTAAATGTATGTTTTTGCTTCAGCAAAGAAAGTTGAGTATATGCTGTAGAAATCTCCATCACAAATGGCTGCTAAAATAATTGAAGAAGATTTATAAAAAATAATAAAGAAAAGACAGCTTGTGATTCATAATAGCAAAATAAGAATTTAGGGATAGAGCCTGTGGCTCGAGGAGTAGGACACTGGCCTCATATACTCAGGGTGGTGGGTTCAAGCCCAACTCTGGCCAAACCTGCAAAAAAAAAAAATGAGAATTTAGGGGACAAGGTAAAATAAAAGCAGGCAATAGATGATAAAAATAGTATGGGGGTTGTCCACAAAATTTGTATATGGTGTATTTGCTAAACGTTAACAAAGAAATTGCCTCTAAGGATTTTACCA